ATCTAGTGTTCAAGGTCATTATCTGCTACGTGGTGAGTTCAAAGCCAGCCTGAACTATGTGAGACCCTTGGATAAAAATAAAAATAAAAAAAATTTAAAAAATTAAAAAAAAGAAACAAAAACCATTGGGGCCAACAATGGACTCAGTAGGTAAAGGTCTTGCTACTGAGCCTTGACAACCTGAGTTCAACTCCTGGAACTCACATGAAAGGGGAAACTGAGTCCCAAGAAGTTGTCTTCTGACCTCCACAAGCATCCTGTGTCACGCATACGCGCGCGCGCACACACACACACACACACACACACACACATATAACACACAGAACAGGGAATGGTCCCGTGAGTAAAGAGCCTGCTGTGTTGGCAGGAGGACTGGGTTCACGTCCCCAGGACCAACACTGAAAGCTGAATTGGTGGTGTGAACTTGTAAACCAGCCCTGGGGTGGGGGCGGGGCAAAGAGAAGAGGGTCTGGATGGCCAGCTGGTGAGGTGGAGACCGTGAGCTCCAGGTTCAGTGAGAGAGAGATCATGGCCTCCACAAGCACAGGCAAAGGGAGGTGCATCTACAACACACACACCCCCACACCCCAAAACATGTAAACAGTACGTAAGTAGGTGTTTATTGGCAAGGCACACGCATATATTAGGTTTAAACAGTAACTTACTAGTGCGTCCAGTAATACTCAGCACAGCTCCCTGTGAGCATAAACATGAAATAGGCCGTCTAAGGAAACAGATCAGGCATTCATTTCTGGGTAGAGGAATTCCAAGACTTTCTGTCTCTCTGCGTTTCTTTCTTGCTTGGTTTGGTTTTTTGAGGCAGGGTCGTATAACCCAGGCTATCCTCAAACTCCTGATCTTCCTGCCTCCACCTCCAGAGTACTGGGACCGCAGTACACTTGTGGCTACAGGTCTGCCTGTATCTGATTTGTTTGGCGCGTGTCCCCACACGAGTAGGTGTGCTTCCGGTGACAGAGCATATTCCCTTCCAGTCCCCAGGCACCGCCTGCTCCTCCCCAGACCTGTAGAACAAGCTGAAGCAGGGCTGAAGGCGAGGTCAGTGACTCCCGTCAGCCTGTGAATAATTCAAAGACAGGCTTGGAGAGCTGAGTCAGCAGCTTAGAGCACTGGCTGCTCGCTCGGTTGTCCTAGGTTCGATTCCCAGCGCCCACCTTGGTGGTTCACAGCCACCTGTAACTCCAGTTTTGGGGAATCTATCCTCACTCAGACCTCTGAGCGAACCTGCAAACACATGGTACACGGAACTGGTCCAGGCATGTGCGTAATAAATAATACACAGCTTTTAAACACGTCATCTGATGACTACATGCACTGGGAGGTGGAGTGAACAGGGGTCGGGAGTTCAAGGTCATTCTTGGCTACGTAGTGGAGTGTGAGGCCAGCCTGGGCCACGTGAAACCAATTCACCAAAGCCCACGTGTCCGGTCTAACTTGTCTTCTGGCCTGAACTTAGTAGTCGCTCGCCAGAAAGACTTGCCTGCTGGCCACCACCCCCACAGAGGGAAGTGCTGTTTGCTCATGCCTGTGTGTGGTAAGGATATAATTGTGAAACTGCCAGGCCTACTCTGCCCAGGAAGGAGCGTGAGTGATGTGTGTTCACAACCAGTATGGGGTCCCTAGGACTTAATGCGGGTGTAGTATGGGTGTTGGTGAGGGATGGTCTGAAGTCAGAAAAAAAAACAACAAAACAACATTAAACTAACATTTTCTGCCTGTGTGGCTTCAGGAAAGACGCTTTCCCTGCCTCAGTTTCCTTATCTGTGCAATGGTACCCCAGCATTAGCAGAGTGCTCTCCGGGATTAGACTGGTGCCGTATAATCTGTGCTCTATAAAACGGGACAGAAAGAAACCCTCCTTTTGTCTCCAAATTGCCGTGTGTGACTTTGGGCAAATCTGTCACCTTCTCAGTGTGCCTGCCACAGATCAATGGCCAGGCCCTCAGAACGCCAGGTTTTGTGAGCCAGCAAGACTCGGCCCTTCTGCCCACGCGTGGATCTTGTTGATAAGGCTCTGACAAAGGTGCTTATGCAGCCTCCACTTGGCCGCCTCCCACGGCAGAGCTCATGACTACACAAGTCACTGTTCCATATTCATGACTCTAGCTTGAAGCAAAATTTTCCACATAATGAGACGTTTGTGTAAGGACCAGTGGTGTAGTTCAGCGGCCAAGCGCAGGCTTAACCTGTGCTAAGTCCTGATCCCTGCCACCAAGAAACAGCAATATTTGAGGGCTGGAGAGATGGTTGAGAGCCCTTGCTGCTCTTGCAGAGGACATGAGTTCAGTCCCCAGCAGTCATGTCAGATGGTTCCCAGCTCCAAGGGGGTTCACCACCCCCTTCTAGCTTCTGTGACCACACACACACACACATGTGCACATACATACACATGAATAACAATATAAAAATAAATTTTAAAAAGCTGGCTATTGCCGGGCAGTGGTGGAGCACGCCTTTAATCCCAGCACTCGGGAGGCAGAGGCAGGCGGATCTCTGGGAGTTCGAGACCAGCCTGGCCTACAAAAGCTAGTTCTGGGACGGTCACCAAAGCTACAGAGAAACCCTGTCTCGAAAAACCAAAAAAAAAAAAAAAAAAAGCTGGCTGTCATGGAGGAACTACAGCTAAGCCGGCCAAGTCCATGCCCAGCATGCATGAAACCCTGGGTTCTCTCTCCAGCACAGCATAAACCAAGCCTGGGGTGCAGACTGTAATTCCGGACTATTGGGGGAACAATAGAATCAGGAGTTCCAGGTCATCTGCTGCTACTCAGTGAGGGTGAGGCCTGCCAAAGGTCTGTGGCCTCTAAGCAAGCACCCTTGTCACTTGGTAAAGACTTCCAATCTTATTTATGTTTGCAGAGCAAACTCCTATAGGACTTTCAGAAACACGGCCTGGTGGCAGTCCCCAGGCATGGGCACAGGAGGCTGGGGAAGCTGTTTGCTGTCTGTCCTAGCTGTGGGGGACCTGGGACTTCCTCCTTCGTGCCTCTGTCCTGTGCACAATGGCAGGCCTGTTCCTGACTCCCCCAGGCGTCTGGATCCCAGGCCTTGTCACTGCGAGCTGCTGCGGGATGCAGTGGTGACATCATGGAGATCCCTGTGAGTCCTGCACTGAGGCTGATGGTGCATCTCCCGCCCGTTTCCCCCACAGAGGAGTACCTCCGAGTGCTGAACAAGGGCCTGGCTGAGGTGAAGAAGTCCTTCCTGGGCCCTCTGTCCCCGTCCTGTAAGATGGTACAGATGATGCGACAGTTTTTGTAAGACGTCCTGCCTGAGGACTCCTACAAGTTTGCCACCGGGAAGCTGCACGTGAGCCTCACCAGAGTCACAGACGGGGAGAATGTGGTGGTTTCAGAGTACACGTCCAAGGAAGAACTCATCGAGGCAAGGCCCTGGCTGTGCCAGCACCTGGGGGAACCCAGGCAGCCCAGCGCCGCTCTCTCCCCAGCCTCCTCCTCTCTTCTCTTCTCTGCTTGTCTGACCCTTTGCTCCCTTCATGCCAGCATCTCTGCCAGGAACAGTGCCACAGGAGGTGACACAGAGAGGCCCACCAACAACCAGAGTCCGCCACCAGCCCCATGATTTCCACACTATCCCCTTCCTCTGCCTTCACCCTGCAGAGCCTCTGGGCTGAATCTGGGGCTTCTCAGAAGCACCCCTCCAAGTCCAGAGACCTCCAGACCTGGGTCTCAGTGCAATCCCAGGTTTAGAGAGGATGAGGAATGGCACCCGTGCTCCAGCTCTGTCCTCAGGAGCCTTGACAAGGATTGAATCACACTATTGGGGCTGTAGCTCACAGGAGGCCCTGGGTTCTGCCCACAGATTAGCAGAAGTGATCAAGTTCAAGGTCACCCACTACACAGCGAGGCTGAGGCCAGACTGAGCTACAGGAGACCTTGTCTAGAAGAGTGGGGGTCATTTGTAGAGCACCTGGTTTAGTCATCGAATCCACATTAAGCATTCGCCATATTTGTAGCGCCAGCTCCAGGGATCCAAGGGGTCCAGTGCCCTTTTCTGGCCTCTTGAACACTCACACAAAAGGCACAGACAGACAGACAGACAGACACACACACACACATATATATATAAATATATATACATACATATAAATAAATATACATACATATAAATAAAAAAATAAATATTTTCATTTTATTTTATTTTGGTTTTTTCTTTTTTTAATTATTTATTTATTATGTATACAATATTCTGTCTGTGTGTATGCCTGCAGGCCAGGAGAGGGCACCAGACCCCATTACAGATGGTTGTGTACCCTCTGTACTAGCCCCCTATTTTGTTTTTTTTTTTTTTAAATATTTATTTATTTATTATGTAAACAATATTCTGTCTGTGTGTATGTCTGCAGTCCAGAAGAGGACACCAGACCTCATTCCAGATGGTTGTGAGCCACCATGTGGTTGCTGGGAATTGAACTCAGGACCTTTGGAAGAGCAGGCAATGCTCTTAACCTCTGAGCCATCTCTCCAGCCCCCTATTTTGGTTTTTTCAAGACAGGGTTTTTCTGTTTAGCCTTGGCTGTAGTTCTGGAATTCATTCTGCAGACCAGGCTGGCCTGGAACTCAAAGATCCTCCTGCCTCTCCCTCCCCAGTGCTGAGATGAAAGGCATGTGCCACATGACATAAATATTCTTTAAAACGATTAATGGGTCTGGAGAGATGGTTCAGAGTTTAAGAGCACTGGCTGCTCTTCCAGAGGACCTGGGTTCAGTTCCCAGCACCCATATGGTGGCTCACAACCACCTATAACCACATTTCCAGGGTGACACCCTCTTCTGACCTCCATGGGCACCAGGCATGTAAGTTGCGCCCAGATATAAATGCTGATGAAACATTTCATACATATAAAAAATAAAGTTAGGCCGTGATGGCACACTCCTTTAATTCTGGCACTTGGAAGGCAGAGGCAGGCAAAACTCATTGGAGGCCAGCCTGGTCTACAGAGTGAGTTTCAGGGCAGCCAGAGCTACATAGAGAAATCCTGTCTCAATAAACAAATGGCTGAACGTTCCCCTCCAGTTCCCACTTAGAGAAGTTCCCATCCATCCTGAGGGGGCTGTGCTGAGCTCCTGGGTGCAGATTTTAGTGACCAGTTGTGACCGCTGAACAGACCCTGACCTGGTTCAGCGTTCTTTCATGAGACTCTCATCTGCTATCTCCACTCCCCTCCGCTCCCCAAGCCTGTGCCCAGCTGCCAGCCTCCAGCTCTGGGGTTGGGGTGAACAAGCAGCGTGCACCCCTCACGCTCATGGCTGCGGTCTCCCTCCCATCTTCTCCCAACTCCCACCCCTACCGTGACAACACAGCTCGCCACACCCAAATCAGGCCGTGTCTGCCGAGAGCTGTTCCCTCTCAGTTCTGGCCCGGCATCCCCTGCTTCACCTTACTCCTGTCCCTTCATCCCACCGGGCCTGGTCCCCTCCTCTGGGGCCACAGCTGCCATGCTTACCCCTTTCACCCCTCTGCTGTGTGACACTCCCAAGGATAGCTTCTCAGTGTCCATTGAGGACAGGGCCTGGTCCAGGGCAGCCGCTGGTTCGTGGAAGGCTGATGGCCAGCAGAACCCCTGTATGTAAAAGCCACCCCTCTTAGGATATCCGGTCCAGCTAACCCAGCAGACTACCAAGGACCCCACTCAGGACAGCCTGGGGATTGAGTGTAAGCTGTTTCCCGGGCCAGCACCCTTACTTTAAGGAATTGCGGACTGGCCAGGGGTCGGGGTCAGTGCCACCTCTGCATCTCTGCCACCCACTCCAGGGCCTGCGGCGTCTCAGCCCTGTCTCTCCCCAGGCCCTGTACTGCAGCTGCTTCGTTCCTGTGTACTGCGGCTTCATTCCCCCGACATACCGAGGTGAGGTAAGTGAGAGTGAGCTGAGTCCTGCGGCATCTGAGGGGAGGAAGCTTTTCTAGTCAGAGTTCCTAAGTAGATGGACGCCTGGGTTCTTAAGGGGAGCCTCCTCTCTAGACCACCCACTCCACCCTGTAGAGCACCCAGCAAGTCGGGGTTCCAAGACTTTCCGTGTTCCCCAGAAGACAGAAACAGGCACCAGAACACAGGACCCGAGACCCTGAGTGAGGAAGCCTTCGGGGCCATCTGGGCCAGTGGTTGCAGGCTTCCCTGTGCCCGTGATTAACCCAGAGGAGTCCTAAGATAACAGGACTGTGCTTCAGTAGATCTGGGCAGGCCAAGATCCTGTGCCTCTGGCTGGCCTCAGGGTGACCAGCGACCAGTCTCCTGCTACAGTCTGAGTAGCGGGGTTGTAAGCCCTGGTCCAGACATTATGCTCTGTCAGCAAGCTTTCTTCTGGCTCCCATGGGGTACAGAGCCTCTGTACTGTCATCTCCCGTTCAGTTCCTAGGTAAGGAAACCAGCAGGAGCCCCACCCCACCCCTGGGGCCAGAAGTGGTGCACTGTGAGGCTGTGGGAGGGGCTTGCTCCTGAGTCATCAGGAAGATGGACACACCACCCAGAGGCCAGTACCACCAAGATGGCAGAGAGAGAAAGTCCAGGGTCAGAGCATTAAATTAGGAGTCCTGAGGCCACTGTGGACACAGCAAGGGACCTCGTTCCACACCACCCACTACTTCTCTTGGGGACCTCAGCCCCCATGTCCTCTCTGATTGAGCGTCTGTTTGTCCCTGCAGCGGTACATCGACGGTGGCTTCACGAGCATGCAGCCCTGCGCCTTCTGGACCGACTCCATTACCATCTCCACCTTCAGCAGCCAGCAGGACATCTGTCCGAGAGACTGCCCGGCCATCTTTCATGACTTCCGAATGTTCAACTTCTCCTTCCAGTTCTCCCTGGAGAACATCACCCGCATGACACATGCGCTCTTCCCGCCAGACCTGGTGGTGAGAGACAGGAGGGTCCGGGTGGGGTCCAGATCAGAGGCGACCCTCTCAAAGGGTTCCCTGGGCCTTTGCCGTTACTAACGGATTGCTAAAAGACAAACAGGGCTGAAGATGTGGCCCAGTTGATAGAGGGCTCACCTAGCATGCTTGAAGCCCTGGGTTTGATCCCCAGCGCTGCAGAAACTGATCCAAGTCTGTAATCCCAGTCCTGGGGAGGTAGAGGCAGGTGGGTCAGGAATTTAAGGTCATCCTTAGCTACATAGGGAGTTTGGGGTTAACCTGAGCTACTTGCCATCCGATCTCAAAACAAACAAAATTCTGGGGCAGAATCTGTGGTCAGCAATGACCAAAATGTTTGCAATTCAGCCCTCCTCGGAGACAGCGTAGGAGGGGTTTGGTGTCAGCCTGTAGAACATGGCTGTGGGTGGGGACAGTGACCCTCGTTCATTCTCCTGTGTCACCACCTAGATCCTGCAGGATTACTACTATCGGGGCTATGACGACGCCGTTTCATACCTGCGGAGGCTGAGTGAGTAGCTGGAGCCTGAGGAAGGGAGGGCAAGGAGGGCGGCAGGAGAGGGAATGGAATTCTGGGTAGAGGAGTGTCCCATAGCTGTCGCTGAGAAAGATGGGCACGAGGAGACCCAGCAGCCTACGCTGCCCTAGACAGCCCACAGTGGCCGTGGGGTGACATGTGGGACAGTGTTCAGAGTGTTTCTAAAACGTTTATGGAATTAAAAAAAAGGTGAGAGTCGTAGAGTGCTTGCCTGGCATGCTCAAAGCCCTGGTTCGATCCCCCAGCACTGTGTAAAACAGGAGTGGTGGAGAAGGCTGGAGGGTCAGAAGTTCAAGGTCATCCTTGACTACACAGCTTTGTCCAGGCCAGCCTGGGCAGCTCAGGACCCTGTCTCAAGTAGGTGTGACTAGTCACAGCTGATCACAGGGGAGAACCATTAACCTTAGCGGGTCTGGACCCAACCCCTGTCTCCTCTAGTCTGTGTCAGATGAACAGAGACAAATGCTCAAACTCCACGAAGGTGTGGCGAGCGTCTTTGGGGAGAGAGAGAGAGAGAGAGAGAGAGGAAAGGCCTGTCTGTACTCAGGGCTAACTCTGGAGGAAGTCCAGGGCAAAGGGGCGCTCACCTACTGCTGGCCCAGCCTTCCTCCCTGTGATCTTCAGGGACGTTGTGTAATTTTCTATCCCAGTCTCACTTGGCTCTAAGTTCCCAGCATGCCTTATTCTGACAAGGCTATACATCTCTGTGACTTAAAAAAAATACTTTGGGAAGCCGGCGATGGTGGCGCACGCCTTTAATCCCAGCACTCGGGAGGCAGAGGCAGGTGGATCTCTGTGAGTTCGAGGCCAGCCTGGTCTACAGAGCTAGTTCCAGGACAGGCTCCAAAGCCACAGAGAAACCCTGTCTCAAAAA